TGCTAAATGAAAATAGCACGCCGATGTTGTTACTCATGAAATATTTATTAAATGAACTTATTAAATGCTTCTCTTTACACAAATGGACATCTCCGGGCACTGTTTGTAGCATTTGATACACACGGTCCTGGTAAAGATACATAAAATAAAAATTCATATATTTTTTTCATAACTTTTAAACGTCGTTACCGCATCACAAAGATGCACGTTCCAGTGGTTTATTTTTTCTTATTAACGTGTTCTTTAGTTTTCCTCTCCCTTTTTTTTTGTTTTGTTTTTAATATCTGGAAGAAAAAAAAAACCTGCCCCGAATGGGTTGAGACTTGGATTACAAAACTAAACACAGACCTTAAAGTTTAACAAACATCGTTCCCAAATGGAATGGCCGCTTGCAATCACGAGTGGTTTATATGTACAGACACCTTGCGCCCGGTGGTCCTTTGTTACGATCAACACCATTTCAAGCGTCGTGATGTCACGGTGGGGTTTTTTTTTCTGTCGAAATTTATTTCATAAAATATTCCTATACATCTTATTTTTGCACTTTTGCCCCCCTTCCTCTCTCTTACTCATTCGCATCATCATTATTTAACACATTGTAGGGCTGTCGCGACCAATATCATCCATGAGGTTTTTTTGGGGGTTAGATCGCGTAAATGTGTCGTTAAACCCACCACCACCCGACACAGCCTCTAGCACGGATCATCATTATATGGGTTATTTATCTCGAAAATGATTTAATTCGACGAATGCAGATTTATTTATGAAGCACGGAAGCAAACAACAAACGAAAGCTCACGTGGTGTGCCCCCCCCCCCCCACCACGTGACTCACCATAGACGGCGACATTGTTCATCACAGCCAATCACCACCCACCACCCCCCAACACACACTGGACATTGGTGATAAAGAGCTTCATAGCTCATCGGATTTTCTATCTCCAGGATAAATTAATATTGTAATAAAGAAATAAAGGGGAGGTTGTCCATCTTAAACAAAACAAATTTGTGATTCTATAGGAAGTGACCTCAGAGCCATATGGCTACGTGAATCCAGAATGATATAAATAAAAATTTCCCTACCATTCTTTGACCAGAGCTGACATTGTCGAATGCCATACATGTTGCCGTTAAGCCAATCATCACTTTGAAATGGATACAACATATATGTGTATCCCAGTGTAGGAAGCTAACAGTTTAACAAGTAGGCTTTCGCGACCAGTATTATTCATAATAAAGGCTTTTGGGTTAGATCGCTTAAGTATAAATGTGTCGCAACCCGCCAATCAGTAAGAAATGTGTTACGTTAACAAAACGCCAACTATATTCTTGGTTCTTTCGGTAAAGTAACGTAGAAGGGAAACAATAAAATAATAAAAATATTAAACAATACAATTCTCACGTTTCCACTGCAACACAAGCAATCGTCATCAGGTGTGAAAAACAGCAAGAAAAACACTTTTTTCAAATTTTCTTGCGGTATTTTTCACACCTGATGATGATTGCTTTTGTGTTGCAGTCGAAACGTCGTGAGAATTTTATTGTTTTATATTTTTATTATTTTATTGTTTCCCTTCTACGTGACTTTACCGAAAGAACCAAGAATATGAATCCCTGCAGTCACGAAAGCTTTAAATCAAAACGCCAATTAGTTATTTATTCAGCCCACTGGTGCGCTTGAAGAGTGAATTCACAACATTTAGAATTTGATTACGACGTTTCGCTGGTAATTAAAGCAAACAGTTGGTTATTCGCCGGGGAGAGTAAGACTCCTGCCATAGAAATGTGGAATTTCCGTTACTGGCTCAGGGCTGCCAAAGGAGGATTTGTTTATAAAGTGTGTTTGCATTCCTATAGAACCCCATAGAATATGGTTCATATATAATATACTATATGTACACGTCTGGGATTAGTTATGCAAGGGTCGGTGTCCACCCCGTCACACTCCCCCACCTCCCCCTCCACCCCGACCTCCTCTCCGCCGATGAAAACCAAATCTTAACTTCTTAAAAGACAGCATCGCGGCTCCATGATCATCGTGTGACGCATATCTTACACTGTTGCAAAATTGTACCAAACGGAACAGGAGAAAAAAATAACTAAAGTACTTTTCGATTTAAAGCTTTCGTGACTGCAGGGATTCATCTTCTTGGTTCTTTTGTCTGACGCTGTCTCCCCGACAGACCTGGTCTTCACCTGAGGACGGCTGCTTGCGTTGTGGCCGAAACGTCGTCAGAATTATTTTATTATGTTTAATTTTTTATTATTTTATTACTTCCCTTCTGCGTGACTTTACCGAAAGAACCAAGAAGATGAATCCCTGCAGTCACGAAAGCTTTAAATCTAAAAATAAAGTACTGTATATAACGGACTATATATCTTTATTTTACTTTAATTTGAAAGGCGGTGACCACAATCGGGAGTTTAACTGAACCTTATTCATCGTTTCGGTGTTTTTTGTGTGTCACAGTTTGTTCGTTCGCGACGGCCGCAAAGCGAATTTCGCCGTTGACACCACGACTTCAACCAACGGCACGAGACTCGCAACACCCGCCACGCACACCGATAACTTTTGCACGACCTGGTGGGTAGGCGGCACACAAAAGAAACATTCAATATGAACGGAGCGGTGCGGTGGGGTGGGCATCAATTGCTACTACCCGTTTTTGTGGTTCCTCCGTCCGTGCCACCCGCTTCAAGTGAGAACGACTTCTTGTGTGTTCAGGTTGATGTCCTCCCCACGGCCGCCGCACCTCCGATGTGCACGGCTGGCTTTACGCACGGTGCGAAATAAGTTCAACGCACGTACGTACACACACACACGTGGGTACATGTGCACGTGCGCGTCTTGTGTACGCGGTAGGTGTCCAGCGCGCCACGTGACGAACACGGTTGACCTACGTACGGAGCGAAAGAAGTTCGACACACAGACATGCGTGCGCACGCGTCCTGTGCACGTCGGTATGCGTCCCACGCGCGCCACACGAGGAGTGCGCGTTGGCCCACGTGCGGTGCCAAAGAAGCTCAACGTACTTCGACCGATGCGTACGAGTGAGCCTGCCGGGGTAAGGGTGACGGCACGGCCTCCGACAGGTCGAGAAAACCTTCAACCGCCGTGCAGCGTCCGAAGCAAAGCGTCAACCGGGGGAGGGAGGGAGGGGAAGAAATTCCCTCTCAGCTAAATTGAGTTAAAAATTTCGTGACTGTAGGAATTCATATCCTTTGGTTCGATTAGTAAAGTCATGAAGATAGTAAGTGGGTGAGTAAGTGCACCATCGCCATCTCGCTGGTGGCGATGGTGCACTCACTCACCCACTAAACTCACCCACCTATCCACTCACCCACCCACCCACCCAGCCACTCACCCACCCATCCATCCACTCAGCCACCCACCCATCCACTCAGCCACCCACCCATCCACTCAGCCACCCACCCATCCACTCAGCCACCCACCCATCCACTCAGCCACCCACCCATCCACTCAGCCACCCATCCACTCAGCCACCCATCCACTCAGCCACCCACCCATCCACTCAGCCACCCACCCATCCACTCAGCCACCCACCCATCCACTCAGCCACCCACCCATCCACTCAGCCACCCACCCATCCACTCAGCCACCCACCCATCCACTCAGCCACCCACCCATCCACTCAGCCACCCACCCATCCACTCACCCACCCATCCATCCACTCACCCACCCACCCATCCACTCACCCACTCACTATCTACGTGACTTTACCGAAATAACCAAATAATGTGAACCCCTCTCAGCTCTTCTCTGGGGCTTTCACTCGGATTGTAACCCTGGGGGGCTCCCGATCAGAAATATCCCTGGGGTCAAATCCCCCCCCCCCTACCCCAGCGAGGGTCTACACTCAGCTCTATCATCATCACCATTGTCATCTACATCATTTGTCCACGAGAGGGTCGGTGATGTTACAACCACGCGTGACGGCGCTGTTGTTGTTGTGGTGGTGGTGGGTGGATGCCTCACCAGGAAGAACGTGTCCCCAACCACCACCACTACCGCAAACCACTGCAATTTCCACTGACGGTGGGTGCAGGACTGACGGATGAGAGGGAGACAAATGCTACCAAAATGTTGGTTTTGTGCGCGGTGGGGAAATGTGTTTAAATCCGTTTCAGATGACGCGTCCGTGAAGTTCGGGCTCTCTCTCTCAACGGGGGGGAGGGGGGGAATTCCAAGGCCACCAAATGTCACTTTTAGGATGCGATATCTTTCAAACACTCCTGGAATATTCTCCGGACAATCAAATTATTGAAATGTCCGAAGGGATTAATGGGGGATGGGCATTTATCTTGATAATTTCTGCATGACATTCACTTCACGCGGAGGTCTGTATATCTTTACAAGCGTGCCCACGACATCCATCATGTCACACAAGTTGAAAAAAAACAAACACATTCCTGCTTGAAACCATTCAGAACTAGATCAGCTCCTACAGGATTACCCAAGCTTTTTCCGAGTAGCTCTCGAGATCCCGGTATGAAGGCAGAATTTCTTGTTACTTATAAACATTTTATTTTGCCTGCGTTCATAGTTTTGTTCTCCCGACTCCCGCACCTGCCGATGTGCATGGCCGGGCTACGTACGGCGCGCGAAAGAAGTCCCCGACGTGCGTAAACATTGCGAAAATTTAATCTGCAAAGCGAAAGAAAGATGACATTTCGATGCTTACTCGGTTCAACTATCACCCTATGAAATGGTTTAGTAGCAGCATTAGGCTTAGGATATGGGGGGCGGGGGGAGGCGAGGTTGTACACAACCAAATTTCCAAAACTCTGTTCAGTCCCACGCCACTCGAGCTACATTCAACTGGACTGGCCATCGTACCCTTTCGCATTGCTTTGTAAGGCAGTCAAATCTGACATTCATTTCCATGTTATAGAGATTTCTTGAGGCTAATTGGGGGGCGTAGGGGTTGGTGGGTGTGTTGGGGATGGTGGGAGTAAACAGGTCACGTGTCTCTTTGGGGGGGGGGGGGGGGTGGGGAGGGTGGAGACATTCACGAGATTGTAGGGGCGCAGTAACCCATTGCCGACTCGACGAAAAGGACTTCCCGGATAAAATCAATGAGCGAATAAAGACAAAGATCCCTCCCCTACCCCGTATAGCCTTAACAGGCTATTAGGGGCAAGTGCTGTTCAAGCGAGCAAGCGACGTGAAGGCCGGAACGGCAACACGGAAGGTTGGGGGGGGGGGGGGGCAGCAACACGCCCGGCCGCCTTTGTCTCCCCCCAAGTGGCGATGTTGACTACACACGGCACCAGGTGCTCGACTGATGCCCGAGTTGATCTAGGGGGAGGCCCAGGACCGGTTCAGATAATCGTCACCGGTGTTGGCCGTGAGCGGGAATCGAACTCGGGTCGCCAGGTTCGTAGCGCGGCGTAGCGCTAACCGCTGCACCACCGCTCCCCCACACACGGTCTGTTTAGAACTTAATGTGGAGCTTTCGTGACTGCAGGAATTACTCTTTGGTTCTTTCGGTAAAGTCACGTATAAAGAGAAAATAATCAATGAAATACTAGCATACGACGTTTCGATTGCAACACAAGCAATGATCATCAGGTATAAATTAAATAGAAACACAAATCTAGTATACTTAAGGCCTCGACACAGAGGCGTGGTTTCTCTGTGTGCCGATGTACGTTCTCTCTCTCTATGTATCTCTGTGATATCTGTCTCTACTTATATGTCTGTCTAAATGTGTCTGGTTCTGTGTTTTATCTCTCTCTCAAATTTAGCATTCTCAGGAAGAACGTAATCAACCAGGTAGGGTGTTGACTGTTATGTTATCCGACTCTCTGTTGTATTACAATACATTTCTAAGTATACTAGATTTGTTTCTATTTCATTTATACCTGATGACGATTGATTGTGTTGCAATCGAAACGTCGTATGCTAGTATTTAATGTGTTATTTTCTCTTTATACGTGACTTTACCGGTCTGTTTAGAGTCAACCATGAGAACACCCCACACGCAGTCACCCATACGACACAGCCCAGCGGGCAGCGCGATCATTGCTCCCTGCAGGTGGTGGAGGGGGTTCTCGGGGGCAGGATCACGGTTCGAATCCAGCAGCCGACCCTAGTTATTACCACGGTTAAGAGATAACCGCAGCGGTTAAAAAAAGATCCCTCGGACGTTCGCAAGAGCAGGCGGCCCTCCTGCCCCCCACCCAACGCTCGCCGCGTGTCGGGCGGCAGCGGTCCAAATTTTTTGTTCCTAAAAGTCGAAAATTTATCTGGGAGGGGAAAAAAAGGCAATTCGGATGTTTACAGAGCAGCAGTGGTAGCAATTGCGCTCCCACCCCCCACCCCACCACTACCACAACTCTACTGGCAGGCTAATGCCGCACAAGGTCACTCTTGCAAATTATAAGAGACTCCTTGCTTTATCCTCACCCAGTAAAACAAAAATACAACAACGAACGTAAATCGAACTTCCCTGCGCTGGCAATATTATACCGCTCGCCAACCACGGCACAATCTTATTGTTCGTTTCGTCGTGGCGAGACCCGGCATATGCGATGAAATGTCCAAAGAGGGGGATGGATAAATGAATGAATGGGCAGACAAAACTCGAAAAAAACCGCAGCCAACAATAATCCCAAATGCCACGTGCTCGTCATGCGTACACATATCTCTCTCTCGCGCGCATGCGCACACGGGCAAAGTCGCTCTTCCCATCCACATCGCTCCCTTTGCTAATCGGGGGACCCCCCCCCCCCCTCAGTCGTGCACGGTATTCGGCCTCCGATGTCCCGGAATTCGCGATCCACGTGCCGGGAAGCTTTCGTTTCGTTCGTTCACTCATTCTGTTGCGGGAGAGGCTGCCAGCAGCACGAGAAAGGTGGAATGTGTTGGCTGGTTGGCCGCGCCGAATACGGTGGCTAGAAGATGTTAACTATCTCGCCTGGTGTACAGGAGGTCGTGGGTTCGACCCCGGCGCCTGCTGCTGTATATTTGGGGTTTGCGTGTCTCTCTCATCATCATCAAGGTGGCTAGGAGATGTTAACTATCTCGCCTGGTGTACAGGAGGTTGTGGGTTCGACCCCGACGCCTGCTGATGTATATTTGGGGTTTGCGTGTCTCTCTCATCATCATCATCATCATGGGGGCTAGGAGATGTTAACTACCTCGCCTGGTATACAGGAGGTCGTGGGTTCGACCCCAACCCTGACGCCTGCTGCTGTATATTTGGAGTTTGCGTGTCTCTCTCATCATCATCACGGTGGCTAAATGTTAACTACCTCGCCTGGTGTACAGGAGGTCGTAGGTTCGTTCCCGACCCTGTCGCCTGCTGATGTATATTTGGAGTTTGCGTGTCTCTCTCATCATCATCACGGTGGCTAGGAGATGTTAACTCCCTCGCCTGGTGTACAGGAGGTCGTGGGTTCGTTCCCGACCCTGTCGCCTGCTGTTGTATATTTGGAGTTTGCGTGTCTCTCTCATCATCATCACGGTGGCTAGGAGATGTAAACTATCTCGCCTGGTGTACAGGAGGTCGTGGGTTCGATCCCGACCCTGACGCCTAATGCTGTATATTTGGAGTTTGCGTGTCTCTCTCTCATCATGATCACGGTGGCTAGAAGATGTAAACTATCTCGCCTGGCATACAGGTCGTGGGTTCGATCCCGACCCTGACGCCTGCTGCTGTATATTTGGAGTTTGCGTGTCTCTCTCTCATCATCATCACGGTGGCTAGAAGATGTAAACTATCTCGCCTGGTGTACAGGAGGTTGTGGGTTCGATCCCGACCCTGACGCCTGCTGCTGCATATTTGGGGTTTGTGCGTCTCTCTCCACATGATGGTGGATTTTTCTCTGGTTTTCCGTCCACACGTAGAATCAACGTGGCGTTTAGAGTATTTGGCTGCTATACATTTCCATATAAGCCACTTCATTAGACTTGCATTTGTGATAGCAACATTTTGTTTTAGTTTAACGGCACGCACAGCTGCGGTAGAAGCGGAAACTGAAAAGCTGCAACGCTGCCAGAGAACTCCGAACGAAGAAGGGAACTTAAACGAGATATATTAAAAAAACATGCCAATGTAAGAAACCTGTTTTTCTCAAAATGCTAAAGGTCCTAACTCACTTTATGTGAGTGGGGTTCATTTTTTTTTTACAGAAAAAAAACAGCTTCTTTAAATTATCACGGTTATAACAATTATAATACATTTCTTTAAATTAAGGGCTTAAATTATTATCGTGAAAGCGACCCGATGCCAAAACAGTCGGTGTATCTTGACTTTGTCAACGTACGTGACTAACCCTGTATAATAACGCTCACGCAACGCTGCTGAAATGAATGAATACGCGGTTAATTTCTCTCCCTCGCCTTTGTCTTTCATTCCGGCGAAGGGGACGGGGAGGGCAGAGGTCACCCCGAGTGGCACACGCACACAATCGTTACGAAAAAAACAAAACCGAGAGACGCGGAGAGGACGACAATTCATGTATACAAAGCGGGGAGAAAATAATCTGAAACATAGAATATATAACACAAAAAAGAAATTAGGATTCACACCATAAAAACAAACGACTCATTAAAACCCCACGTAGTAAGCACGTACTGCATACGCAAATGTACATATGTACAAAATTGAGAACGATGGACGTTGAAAAAAAAATGTACACCACAGGTTCGGGGTAGATGATATTGACCATGATATTGACCACTCCCCGTTTGCGTATTACGGGCTCAACTCTCCATGAGCGTTCGGCACTCCCCGTCCGCTGGTTCTCACCTGTAAATGTGAAGCCCACATCTAGACATGGAGGGATTTCAGTTGAGTTGTTTTTTAAATCCTTTATATTAAGTTCGCTTGCTTGCTTGCGTGCTTGCGTGTTTGCTTGCTTGCGACTGTGCAAATCTTTCGGTCGTTTTTTAACCCACTTCCCGTGATCCAATCGAGCTGACATTTTGCACACAGACTCGTTGTGCGTGACAATTAATTTTCGTGAAAAATTTTTTCCAAAATTTTACACTGTTTAGGGGAATTTTTAAAAAATATTTAATTACCAATTGCTTAATGGTGGCAGGTAATCATCAGACCCATAGGTGGAAGCCATCTCAAGCCAGAGGACGAGAGGACTCTAGCCGCCACGCATATAAAGGATTTATAGTGAAAAACTTTATTTTTACGGGTTATAATTATTACTTATCTAAGGCTAGAGTGACACACCGATGGAGCGGGTTTGTTTGGGGGCGGCTGGCCAGATTGAACGCCGTAAGAAGCGGTTGGTGGGTGGAGAAAAATATTTAAAAACCTGGGAATTCGTTTTCAATTAGTTTTTTTGGGGGGAGCGGGGAGGGCATATTTAAAGTGGTACGTTTGTAAAATACGCAAAGTGGTAAACGTTACAAGCAAGTTGAACCGAACTTTAAAAAAAAATACCGTATACGCTTTTGAGAACACACACTACATTCGGTATATATATATTATACGTGTGTGTGTTCACGCACAGGGGTCTTGTGACAGTTTTGGTAAACTTTAACAACACAAAAAAGCGTTGAGTGCGCCACAACCTCAGGGGGGGGGGGGGGGGTGGGAACGTGAACAGCAACACCACCACCACCACCCACCGCCATCATCATCATCTGCCGCCGCTACGACGTGGGAGAAACTCGACTCTCCGATCGCGGTGGCCGTCAAATAAAAACGTTACCACCACCCGCGCGTTCGTGTGTTGTTGTGTTATGTGTACCCATCCCACATGAGACCTATACTTGCAGCTGTTGTGGCAGGACCTGCTTGTCCCGCATAGGCCTCTTCAGCCACCAGCGTGCCTGCAGAAGACGTGGATGTCCTTCCTAGATCTTCGTTCGCGAAGCCAAGCCATAATGTTGTTTTATGTGTTGTGTTGTGTCGTGTGTTGTGTTGTTGTGTTATGTGTTGTGTTATGTGTTGTGTTGTTGTGTGTGGGAACGGCACACGGTCAGAGGAGCCGAGCATTGACAACGGCCGGTTGGGGGCTGGAGTGTTCCCCGGAGTTACCTGGGGGGGCAAAAAATAAAAACGGTGCACGCGAGTGCCGCCACTGACTTGCAAACGCATTTTGACAAAACGCACCAATGCATCCCCCATCACCCCACACCGCCCCCCGTTCCAACGTTCGCCGGATCGGTGAATCGGTGTATCCGCGTGCGAATACCACACACGCGGCGGCTCCCTCCGCTCTTGCCACCCCCCTGCCCCTTCTTTGAGACAACCCCGGCTATGAACCACAACCTTCGATATCCACGGTCGGCTACATACGGTGCGAAAGAAGTTCAACGGACGTCAACCCGTACACCACCGCGAAATATTTGAGTGTTTTTTTTTAAAATCATTTATATTAAGTTCGCTTGCTTGCTTACGACCGTGCAAATCTTTCAGTCGTTTTTTAACCCACTTCCCGTGATCCAATGGAGCTGACATTTTCCACACAGACTCGTTGTGCGTGACAATTAATGTTCGTGAAAATTTTTTTTCCAAAATTGTACACTTTTTAGGACAAAAATATTATATTTAATTACCAATTGCTTAATGGTGCAATTCAATCATCTGACCCATAGGTGGCAGCCATCTCAAGCCAGAGGACTCTAGCCGCCACGCATATAAAGGATTTATAGTGAAAAACTTTGTTTTTACGGGTTATACTTGTGCACGACCGGCTACGGCTAACATCAGCGCCTGAACGGGTCGTGGATGGGGATGTGTTCGCGACGACTGTATCGAATGAGGTTTATTATTTCGGTAACTTTCCGGTCCACTACCCTGCCGTGGTTGTAAATTCGTTGCGGTCAGCGGCACCACGGCGCTTGCGATGACGCGGAAGGTCGCGGGCTCGATTCGATCTCCCGGCACGGCAGTCGAAACTACGCTCCGAGAGAAATGTCAACCGCCGATGCCCACAATCGATCGGCGGTTCGCGTGCGGTCGGGTTAAGTGCGGGTACTGGCGCCGCATCCGAAACATCGAACCCACGTATGACACCTCGAGCCGGGCTCTCCGAAGATTTCTCGAGCGGAGGGCCCCCCCCCCTCAACCAGCAGTGGATTGTGCAAAGATATTTCAGGGATTGCGCCTTCATCATTCATTACCCGCAGTCCAGAGAGAGCAGTCAAGTAGCAGCCAATCACAGTTCGCACGTCACTGGCGTCTTTTAAACCTTCATAACTCTGTTTACAGATCGCGCCTTACCACATTTTTTTTAATAAAAAAAACAAATTTATGCTCTGGCGGTTTCAAAAACCCAATAGCAACTAAACAAAAATGTACCGTACCAATGCATTGAACGAACGCACGCACGCAAATAAAGAATTACGTAGTGTTTTTGTTTAAATTATTCGAAGCTGTAAGATTAAAATCATTTACAAAAGCAGTCCACTTTTGAAAACCCCCCAAAAAATGCACAATAGTTAAAAAAGTTTAGTTTTGTTAAATGAGGTCAAAATGGTAATATATTGTATTATAAGTATATTCCATATAGATATGTGTGTGTGTGCTGTGTAATATTGGCTCAATATGGAGTGCAGGTGGTGCATCTGCCATTCATCTCAGTCAAGTCAACCCATGCCATCACCCGGGTCTGTCCCGTGGCCTCCTCCTGCACCTAGCCTGGCACAGGAGTCAACCCATGGCACCCGGGGCAGTCCCGTGACCTCCTCCTGCACCTAGCCTGGCACAGGAGTCAACCCATGGCACCCGGGGCAGTCCCGTGACCTTCTCCTGCACCTAACCTGGCACAGCAGTCAACCCATGGCACCACCCGGGTCTGTCCCATGACCTCCTCCTGCACCTAGCCTGGCACAGCTGTCAACCCATGGCACCCGGGTCAGTCCCGTGACCTCCTCCTGCACCTAGCCTGGCACAGCAGTCAACCCATGGCACCACCCGGGTCTGTCCCATGACCTCCTCCTGCACCTAGCCTGGCACAGGAGTCAACCCATGGCACCAGGGTCTGTACTATGACCTCCTCCTGCACCTAGCCTGGCACAGGAGTCAACCCATGGCACCAGGGTCTGTGCTATGACCTCCTCCTGCACCTAGCCTGGCACAGGAGTCAACCCATGGCACCCGGGGAAGTCCCGTGACCTCCTCCTGCACCTAGCTTGGCACAGCAGTCAACCCATGGTACCACCTGGGTCTGTCCTATGATCTCCTCCTGCACTTAGCCTGGCACAGCAGTCAACCCATGGCACCCGGGTCAGTCCCATGACCTCCTCCTGCACCTAGCCTGGCACAGGAGTCAACCCATGGCACCCGGGTCAGTCCCATGACCTCCTATCAGCGAACCTTTGACACTTCATGCGACGGGCAGCCGCAATATGCACCTAGCCTGGCGCAAGCGCCGTGGGGTGGTCGCCGCCCCCTAGTGGCGAACGGCGGGTTTGACGTGAAACGTTCGGCTACACATTTCAGACGCGTGCGATGGTGGCTGTTTTTTTGTTTGTTTCAGTTCTACCAAAATATCGGACACTATCTCTCTGTACAAAAGAAACATCAAGTAGGTGGCAGCTGGCCACGTGATCAATGCCTCCCCCACAGTCGTACGACGGGCACACGTCGTCCGTGAAATGTTCTCGGTTATGACAAAATCAACAAGGGGAAAGACACGCGATGGGCAATTACAAAAATAACAAAACACAATTGACATTCTCACCCTTCCACTTTGCCCTCCGCCCCCCCGCCCCAAAAAAAAAACAACTCGAAACCTCTTCAATACGACGCTGGGCCAGACTGCAGAGAGAATATACAATATTTCTCTTCTTAAACGGCGCGCACAAGAGCCGCTTGAGCACGGACGCATCTTCACAAGGTTTACGATGCACTCCTGGCCGTCGCCGATCGAGTTAACACACCTCAACATTTGAATTGTTTTGTACGCATGGCCCCCTGTAAAATCGGCTTTGTTTATCGCAAAGGCTTTAAAAAAAAAAACGCCATCGCAATCGGGGCGATGCAGCGACCCGCCGTGACCACGTAAAAAAAAATGGGCCTCACATACTTTCGTAATTAATCGACCGGCTTGATGACGACGACGACATCCACATCAAGCCCAAAATCATGAGCCAGAAGCTCCGCGCCGATTTCGCACACGTTCCGCGGTGGAACTCGGCGGCCAAAGCAGCAACGGGTGCGCGCGGTCGTACGTGCATGCCGGCGACTCTGAGATGGTGGTGCCAATTCCACGTCACCATGGCGCGCGGGGGGGCCCAGTCTGTCCGTAACACGACTGCTGGCTTCCCACTCGTTTTAGACGGCGGAGGGATGGACGGGTTGGGGCTGCATCGACCCCCGACGACCAGGATTTGAACTTGTGACCTTCCGAGTAGCGAGCGGATCGCGCTCTAAAGCCGCAGCGTTGCAGTGCTCTTCATTGATTTGGGGGAGGTTGTCATTTTCGTCGCACGTCGCGAGACGCAACGAACTCTGCTGACCTGCAACCCCCACGCCAACCAAATGACGAGAGAGAGGTGAGTGGGTGGGTGAGCGACTGGGTGAGTGAGTGGGTGTGTGAGTGGGTGAGTGGGTGGATGAGTGTGTGGGTGAGTGTATGAGTGGGTGGTGTGTGAGTGGGTGAGTGGATGGATGTGTGGGTAAGTGTGTGAGTGGGTGGATGAGTGAATGAGTGAGTGGGTGGATGAGTGTGTGGGTGAGTGTGTGAGTGGGTGGATGAGTGAGTGAGTGGGTGTGTGAGTGTCATTTGTGGCTGGGTCGCTTTCGAACGGTAAGTGAATACACCTCGGTGGTTTCTGTCTGGTAGGACGGGGATGGTTTACTCCTATTTGTATGTGCTTGATAGATTTGTTCACCTTTCCTAGACTTTGCGCTCCTATCGTGTCTTCGTACTGCGTCTTGCTGTTGTGACGTTCTTATCCGACTGGACGCATGTGATAAAATGCTTCACATCTCATCGGATTCCTCCGGCCTACAAAAACATTCTGATTCTCGACGAACAGGGGCCGCCGCGACCGCCCCAATCTGTCCGTTCCGTCGCCCGCGACCACGGCTGGAGGCCACGGGTTGCCCTCGGTCGGCAATCGACGGTTCGACGCGGTGGCCGCGCGTCCACGGGACGGACATCGACGGAGGTGGAAACGGCAGAGAGTTATCCCGGGACTTCGACCAAACCGAGGGCGCTTGGCAGTGAAAACGATCTCCCCCTCCTTCCGTGGGAACTTCATCGCCGCTTTTGTTTCGTCCGTTCCTAACAGTACTTCCCAGATAGTTTTGTTTTCCTTTTAAGGTTATATATATTTTTTTGCTTTGGGAATGGCTTAATGTACTAAAAAAACGTGCAAAACGATAGACGAAATGAAACCATACGCGGGGGTAGGGGGGGGGGGGGGCTTCACAAAAGTTTGTCCGCTTTTCCCTGGGGGGGGGGGGGGGGGGATGGCGGTAGGGCCCCCCCCCCCCCCCTCAACTTACGAAATATCGCCCCGGTTCGTAAACGGGGGAAAAGCGTGAACCTTCCATTCTCCTCGACGACGCGCACGGGCGAGAAAGCGACATTAATGGGAACCCCCACCCCACCGCCTCCCCCCCCCCCCTCCCTTTCTAAAAAAGACCCCAAAAAACCGGTGCCGGTTTTCAAAATGCCGAACAACATCCACCGTCAACCCAAACCCAGCCTCGTCCATTTTCCGGCGAGGATTTTCCTCGTTTTTTTTTTCTTCTTCGCCAATTTTAAAAAAGGTTTCCCACGCGACGCGGGCGTCTTTCAAGGTTTACGGTCGCGCCAGGTCAATTCCGAGTTCGGTGGACGCGAAAAGCCGCGCGAGATCGCGCTCGCCATTACACACACACACACACAAAGTGCTCGTCACAAATGAACCACAATATAACAACACCCTTGCCGATCTCGTCAAGGGGCATAAACCATCATCACGCGAACGTCGGTCACCCGCGCAGCGGCGGCTTTTGGCTCGCCATCGAAACAACGGACGGTCACACCGCCGTCGCGCGCTTTCAGATGCGCTTCTGCGGCCGTCTGGAATGCTGTTTCCTTCTGATATTAGGAAGCCGCCGGAGCATCTTCTCGATTGAAAACTCATTTCTTTTGAACTGCTTGTTTGTTGTGTTCAGTTTGTCGTCCTTCCCCCGCACCTCCGATTGGCCACGGTTGGCTAAGGTACGGTGCAAAAGAAGTTCAACGTACGTACGGACATATGTAGGTGGGCGGGCAGGCGTGAGGAACACGGAATCTGTGCATTCTTTTTTCTTGAAGCGTGAAAGTCTACACGACTTGGCGAGCCACCCTCCCCCCCCCCCCCGCGGTTTTTTGTCTCCATTTTTTTTATTCGCCCCCCCCCCCACTCCTCTCCCACCGTGGAACCGTTGCCGTGGCGACGATCACAGCGCAGTCCCCGCAAGATGGTCGCCAGAAAAAAAATTATGAAAACAAACGTACAGCAAGTAATAACCAAGTCACGTGATCGTACGGGCGCGGCCGCGATTGGCTGGCACCTGGGCGACACGTTCACGAGCCAAGCGACGGGGCCACGTTACGATCGTCACGGGAAAAAGGGTGGGAGGGGGTGGGGGAGGGAAACGAACAAGATTCGCCGCCCGCTTTCGCGAGCTTTTCGTTTCGTCCGACGATTTTGCAAGAGCGCGTCGAAGGTAAACAAACAAAAAAAAAGATGAACTACTCCCGAGTCTGCCGGCGTCAGGGGGACGCGCTGAAGCGTTACAAGGAAACCCGCGTTAAATTAGGAGCTGAAGGAAGACGCAATGGGGGGAAAAAAAGAGCAACTTCGCTTCAATTTCGTAGACAAGCAAACACCTCCGTGGGCCGCGTCTCCCCCCCCCCCCCCCGCCCGTCGACAGTTCCGCGCAAACTCCGTCGTTCGCCGGAAAAGAAATATCAAAGGCAGGGGGGACACGGGTGACTTCAAGGTGCTCCTGCCGTGGTATCGCCCTCTGGTGGTCGAACCCCTGCAGTTCCCACCCACCCCCCCACCCACTCCACCCAACTCCGCTCGCGAGGTCACAGCAACGTGACCCCCATTCCCCCCCCCCCTTTTGGCGACGTCCCAACTCGCGCTTATGTTGGCGCCGTAGCGCGGTAAAGTCGGACGCCCGACCACAAGCTTCAGCTTTCACTTTTAAATCACCCATCAGCCCACGTATGGAGGAAAGACAGGGGTGGCATCTCCTCTAAGTGGGGAGGGGGGCTATTCAAAGCCCGCAGTCGTAACTGGCCGAGCGAACCCAGGCATTAAAATTTGCGCGGTTGCCATTTCCAGTTTACTTTAACCTCTTTTATATATATATTTGTGTAAAAATGTTTTTTCACGATTGCAGCTATTAATATTTACAGGAGGCCCTTTTTAGCCGCCGCATCGCCGAGGAGCGTTAAAAGCGTGCCGGCCAGACTCTGATTTAGTGTCGGTTTGTGTGTTTCTTTTGGTTGCGTCTTCCTTTAGCCCGCTCCCCCACCCAACCGCGCCTCCCCCCCCACCGCCCAATCCTCCCCCGCCACGACAACGCTTTCTCAAGTTGATAAGTTTACTAAACGGGGAGGGAGAGGGGGGGGCGGGGGGGGCAGGCGAGACAACAAATCCGTTAGGCTTCAGCGTGAAAATTCATCGAGACGCCGAGTGGTGTAGAACGGGGGGGGGGGGGGGGGGGGGCGGGTAGGGGGGGGGTGATGGCTAGGATGGAGAATTAAATTCACAGCTTTTCCTTCGAAGGCACCCAGATGAATGGTCCCGACTGCTCTTCGATAATCTGCTTCCCCTGGCTGTAGATCTCTTCCAAGGTGTCGCCCTGAATGACCGCTGCGGCGGGAGAGGAGGGGGAGGAAAGAGGAGAAAAAAAACATCATCAGAATCTTTCTTTTTTGTTGCAACAGGAAGCAAGGAATCCGACGAGCCACTAGGCTCTTTTTCACCACGGGACGTTCAGTTCGGGGCGGGCCAACGAGTAAATAACAGCAAACAATGGTTCTCATCTTCCGGAAAGATGGTCCCCGCAAGAGGGAGATTCGCGGATAGCCAAAGTCGCGGACAGCGAGTTCGCGAACAACGAGGGAATACGGTACACGTTTGTCCATCTGTTACGGCGGGTTTTTGACCAATCTTCACAAAGTTAACACAGAACGTACTTTGGTGCAAGTCGGTGCGAGGTCTGGGCCTGGTTCAGATGTAGCTCGCCACGGATGTTAGCCGTGACTGAGAATTGAACTTGGGTTGCTGGGTTCCTAGTGCAGCCCACGAACTCAAAGGGAATTGAGGGGTCGGTTGGGAGACCGTTAATGGGGAGCCAACAGTGGCTAGGAGATGTTAACTCCCTCGCCTGGTATACAGGAGGTCGTGGGTTCCATCCCAACCCTGACGCCTGTATATTAGGAGTTTGCGTGTCTCTCTCTCTCCCCGTGGTCGCGTGGATTTTCCTCCAGGTCCTCCGGTTTTTCCCTCCACATTTAGAATCCACATGATGCATTTAGAGTATATGATGATGATGATAGGCTCACTTCGTTGAAAACTATCATTTGTGAAAGCCAGGTCGCTTCTGACAAAAAGATCTGTATAGCTCAGCGAGCAGATCCTGGTAAAAAAAAACAATAATATTAACTGCCGCACCATCCCGTAATACATCCAGGCCCCACGTGGTCAATCCAGGAGGTGGAGGAATCGTGCATGACACCCCGGGGGCCACATTTAATCACGGGCGGCTGACAGGTTTTCAACTCGGGAATCTCAGCGGTGCCAGGCTCAGATCTACGATTAAGCTGCAATCTCTCAAGCGTAAATGAGAGTTTGCAATAAATAACAAGCACAACAGTTTTGATTCAAAGCTTTCGTGACTGCAGGGATTCATGTTCTTGGTTTTTTCGGTAAAGTCACGTAGAAGGGAAGAAATAAAATGATAAAAATATAAAACAATAAAAATTCTCACGACGTTTCGACTGCAACACAAGCAATCATCATAAGGTGATGAGAATTTTAATTGTTTTATATTTTTATTATTTTATTATTTCCCTTCTACGTGCAACACAAGCAATCATCACCTGATGATGATTGCTTGTGTTGCAGTCGAAAGGTCGTGAGAATTTTTATTGTTTTATATTTTTATTTTTTATTATTTCCCTTCTACGTGACTTTACCGAAAGAACCAAGAATAAGCACAACAATAATAATATTACGAACAATATTGGTGCTAAGAAACTCTTCTGCCGGCCGTTCAATGACAGCACACGCTGGGGCGGATGAAACTGGCTTACGACGTCGACAGCAACAACTGAAACACATTTCGAATAGAAAAAACCCAACGCCGTGTGTGTACGTATATAAATGTATATATTTAAACATGAAAGACCAATCCCGCTGTAGAAGTACACTAATAGCAATAATACAAAACATCAATTTGCATTTAACTGTCGAGGCTTCCAGTAAGATAATAATTCATCATATTTTTTACTGGAAAATGATGTTCCAATGGTGCTCCCAGTAAGCTTTCGCATCCAGTATAGGTCAGACATTTCCTGGTCTATAAAGCTCTGCATGGTCTTGGATCAATGTGCCTGCGGGCCTGACTGATCTTCCATACGACTGGGGTTGATATCTCGACTCTCTGCAGGACAGGACCTACCACTCTCCCCTCCCAGCCTTCTCAAGCATTGCCCCAAGAGTCAATATTTTCTCATGGCTTTTGCTTAAACATTATTTTCACTGCCTTTGCATTTTATTTGATTGTAGAATGTTTCGATATCCCCCCCCCCCCTCCCCGCATTGAAAACAAGAAAAAGGCCGCTAAAAAATATGATAAAATGTTGCATAACCTCATCCACGTGATCAATCGTGTCTTTATTTTTTCGTGAATATTTGTCTTGGAGGGCACTGGACATTTATAGCCAAGAGGGGCCCTCGTACGATCATCGGCTTTTCATGATCGCGAAACAAAAATCTCAAAGCTCTTCACTGGGGTTCAATTGATTATTCATGCAATCGCGCATCGGGCTTAACCACTAAAATTCCCGGCGCTTTCATTTCGTTCAAATAAATTGTCGGCATTAGTCCGCTTTGAAATGCATTTAAACTCACATTCGCTAATTCTCAATAGCCCCTTCACCACGACGAATATTCCGTCTATTGTTCGTCGTTGTCGGCGTGCACTCGCTAATTTGCCTACTCGCAAACATCGCTCGCTGGCAGGATGGCACTAAATGTGCCCATCAGTAAACTCACTCCCTCGTTTAAAAGCTTCGTGACTGCAGGGTTCATCTTCTTGGTTTCTTTCGGTAAAGTCACGTAGAATGGAAATAATAAAATAATAAAAATAAACATAATAAAATAATTCTCACGACGTTTCGGCCACAACGCAAGCAGCCGTCCTCAGGTGAAGAACAGGTCTGTCAGGAAGACAGCGTCTGAAGTGCATTTAAACTCAGACCTGTTCTCACCTGAGCACGGCTGCTTGCGTTGTGGCCGAAACGTCGGGAGAATTCTTTTATTATGTTTTATTTGTATTATTTTATTATTTCCATTCTACGGTGACTTTACCGAAAGAACCAAGAAGATCACTCCCTCGTGTTTTCGCAAAGGCCCTCAACGTCTCCCCCTTCGGTCTATTCCCCTGAGGTCCGTCATTTCATCGCAGCTGGCACAGCCAGCTGTTGACCAATTTTCCCATTTCACACGAATGTTGCGAGAAACCCCTTTTCGATCTATTTGTCGGCTTATCTGTTTCCCTTTTTTTTTTGACGCGCTACGAAGCACGGCGGGGGGGGGGGGCCACATTGCTCAAAGTGTCCAATTATTATGATTTTCCATTTAAGGCCAACGCAGTTGACATTGACGAATGCGTTGAGTTTTGTTGTTGGGATTCTGCCAGTCTGTTGTTAATTTTGCCTGTGCACCACTACCATGTGTGTTTTTTCCTGTACGCCGAGCCGCAACGAACAACACCGACCCACACCTCTCGCCAACCCCCCAAACTGGCAACAACGCCGGCACCTCCTGCCCTGGTGACACTTGAGGCCCCTTCCTTGAGATCCGATTGGCCGCCCCACGCAGTGACCCTGTTGTCACGTGTGTGACAAAGGTCACGTGTGTGACAAACACACGCATGACCTTTCCCTGTCCCCTGCGCTTAGTTCCCGGTCCACTGGGGCGTAGCAGCGGCGAGATGTTCACTACCTGTCGCCTGGTATGCACGAGGTCGTGGATTCCATCCCGATCCTGACCCCGACGCCTTGCTGTAACACATTTGGAGTTTGCGCGTCTCTCTCTCCTCGTGGTCGCGTGGGTCAGCCCGGTTATTTCGTCAACATTGTAGAATCGAGTACGTGCGTTGGAGTATGTGTTGCTATAAACATTTAGCAGGTAAGGCCCACCGAGCTATGAAATAAAAAAAAAGAAGCGTCTTTTTTAGAAGTGACACTGGCTATTCACAAATTAAATTCTCAACGAAGTCGCGTGGAGATTTATAGGCAGACAAATACTCTAAAAGCGTTAAAGTCGATTCTAATGTAAAGGGGAAAAAACCGTAGGACCCGGAGAAAAATCCACAGCAACCACAGGGGTGAGAGAGAGAGAGACACGCCAACTCCAAATATACAGCAGGCGTCAAGGTCGGGAATGGAACCCAGCGATCTCCTCTATACCAGGCGAGGTAGTTAACACTCCTTAGCCACCGTGATCATGAGGAGCAGAAGACACGCAAACTCCAAAATACAGCAGGCGTCAGGGCTTGGGATCGAAGCCCACGATCTCCTCTATACCAGGCGAGGTAGTTTACATCTCCTAGCCACCGTGACATGATGAGAGAGAAACACGCAAACTCCAAGGTATACAGCAGCAGGCGTCGGGGTCGGGGTCGAACCCACAATCTGCTGTACACCAGGCGAGGTAGTTAACATCTCCTAGCCACCGTGTTGATGATGATGAGGAAAGAGAGACACGCAAAACGCCAATATACAGCAGTGTCAGGGT